GCACCTGGGTGGCTCAGTGGGTTAAAGCCTCTGCCTTCGGCTCAGGTCATAATCCCGGGGTCCTGGGATCGAGCCCCGCATCAGGCTCTCTGCTCAGCCGGGAGCCTGCTTCCCTTCCTCTCTCTCTGCCTGCCTCTCTGCCTACTTGTGATCTCTGTCTGTCAAATAAATAAATAAAATCTTTAAAAAAAAAACTGTAAATACTTGTTCAAAAAGATGAATGTTCTCACTCCTTTGTTGTCAGTGGAATTGTAAATTGGTACAATTTTCTTTGGAGGAGACCTTGGCAGTAGATACTCCAAGTCATAAAAATATTCATATCCGTTGACCCAGTAATTTAATTTCTGGGAATTTACCCAAAACAAATAATTAGAAAGATGACACAGACTATATTATAAAGATGTTCCTAACAACACTCTATATGATAACAAAATCCAGAAAATAACCTCAAAGTCAAATAATAAAGGAATGTTTAATTATGGATTTCCAACCCAAGGGAATATTACATAGCTACAAAAACTGATAAACTTGCTGTGTACCATATATAAAGGTGGTTATAAAACAATTCAAAACCCTCAAAGCACTTTGAGGAAAAAATATGCATTTATGAATTATCTTCTGCAGAAGAAAGTGCAAATTCTAAAGTAGTTGATGCAGGTGGAAAGAAAATTCACTTCCTTGGGTATATAGAACAGATTTTAACAAAATACAAGTAAGTAGAATAAATTTAAAATAAGTGTAGGAAAATTCAAATTTGTAGAAATATTTCTCAATTTTCAAGTTATGTCCTGAGAAGAGGCATTGCACACATTAGGACTGATGACTGGATTTTAATGATTGCGCATAGAGGACAGCACGCTATCTTTGGAATGCTCTGGATGTAATCACCAGTGTGCTTGATCACAAAATGATTCTCAAGGGTTGCTAACAAGCAGCAGACTGCCAGCACCTTGCATGTAGACTCCCTTAGGAGCAGGAGTTATTTTGGAAGATTAAGATTTTTAAAAAAAATCACAAAGGTCCAGATTCGGCTGCCCTCAAGTACCCTCCAGTGACAGAGTGGCCACTTCCTTCTGTAAGCTAAAGGAGGGGAAATGAAGATCTCCAGTCTTTTGTGTCTGCCTTCAGAGCAGATGGGTGGTAATTCTAGCTAAATATAATCATCCTCTAAATTCCAGGTGTTTAATTCAGCTCAGTAATGTTGCTGTACTGAACAGCCACATTTGGTAGGATTTGAAGGCATGTCCAGTTTCTTTGGCTGTATCTTACCTTGAGTCCTCCCTCCTGGGACCAGAGCCAGAGCATTAAGGCAAAGTACCAGACTGTTTCCAATCTTCCCCGGAGCAGAAGTAGTTAAATGTCTGGACTTGAATGGGATCTCCTACAAGGTTGCATGTTGTAGAAAGGAGAAATAGAGGGCTAAAAATTAAGTGGAGAAAGTCAATACAACAAACTTGAAACCAAGGCTTGCTTGGGTCAACCACATGGAGTTAAACACACACACACACACACACACACACACGTCCGCACACAGGTTGATTGTTGTTCCAAAGCCATCAAAGCTTCAGGTTTGAGAGGAACATTTTCATAGAGGGATATTTCAGAGCAGGGCTTGGAGGATGGATACGTGATTTATCCCAAACTTGAAAAGTCAAGGAACAGTTGGAGGTTGGAGGCAAAAAACCCCAAGTGGAATATACTAAAGGCAACAGGGAATTTTAGAAAAGAATGTGGGCGTTTGGAAGCCCGAGAGTAATACTCAAACGAGAAACGCTGGGATTAAAAACATTACGAGTACACTGGTAAACTACCAACATCTATGCACTCACCATTAAGCATCCAAACATTTAACCACCTGTCTAGTTTGGTCCCAGGAATAGACAGCCAGCCTGGCTGTACCTGAGTTTGCTGGCTCCAAGTCACCCTGCGACTACTCGTGTAAAGGGCGTGTGTTTGGAAGAGAATTATAAGCCGGGGTGGGGGATGGTCCTGGCGAAGTCAGAGCTACACAAGCAAGCATATTTTAGTTCACTGGCTCAGTTACACGATTTTGGGAAGGTTTTCAGTGTAGAAAGCTTCCTTATGGTGCAATGTTACATGAATCAGAGGTGAATGCACGGGATATGGAAGTTGACATGAGTTTCAGGTTTGAAGAGAACATCAAGTGGGAGGGGTAGAGCAGAAGACTACAGGAGAAGGGGCAATTGCTGTCCTCACTCTACCCACCCCCAGGAGACCCTTCTGTGAACAACAGGAGCTTCTGGAGATGGAGAAACCAGATCAGAATGACCGCAGTTTACCTTGAACTGGGCCTTCTTACAATGAATAGAATCTAGTGTCCCACTGGGTGCTGTTCCTATGGTTTCCTTTGGGGAGATTTTTCTTGGTTGTCATTCAGACTGTAGCCTTACATTTGACGAGGGGGAATCAAACATCTGTTAATGGATAGATGAATCCACCCGTGTCTCCCATTGGGTTTGTAAGGGCCTATTTAACCAGAGGGATTCCATCTTGGGTTAAACAGTGATCTTGTTGTTTATGCAGTAAAACTTAAACTGACCCTGCCCCCGCTCAGGGACTCACTTAAAAGCAAGCCCGGGAAACCAGTCCCAGGTAACAAAGCCTAAATACAAGGGTGGGTCAGGCCAGGTGGAGGTATCCAATCAGTGGGGGCACATACTGTCTCCCTAGCTACCAAGGCGTGTGGGTCCTGCCTTTTGGGCGCCAATTCTAACCAAGGTGATAAGCTAGTTCAAGTATCTATACTAGGGTAAATTGTAGTTCAATTGGCCACCTGTGTGTGACCTAGCATGACTATGCAGCTTTCTCTGTGTGTTACAATTTCAATGGCCACCTGTGCATGGCCAGGCCCAACCACATGGCCTTTGCCCTTAAAAGCTAGTCTGTAAAGCAGAGAGGGGTCGCCCTCTCTGTAAGAGGCACGGCCCCGAATGTTCGGTTTGATTCTCGATGCTTGGCACGAAATAAAGCTTTGCTTGACTTTCGCTTTGTATCAGTCTCGCTCCTTTAATCACGGACCCATTATTGGGGGACCTTTCAGGTTACAGATTCTCCTTGGGTATTTTTCGGCTGGACAGTTAGACCCAAGCTTTTCCTGTCCATGAGCTGGGCCCCGAAGGCACCAAAGGCCTATTAGCAGGCCAGCCTTCTTTGTATACAAGACCCCTAGACCTGGGGTTAGCCATTAGCTTCTTCCTTCTTCCTTGACACCTTCTTTCCCATCAACCCGCAAGTTCCCAATCGCCAACATTCCCTTGAGAATGGCTGAGAGAGAGAAGGAAGCTACGCTCGGAAAGAAGATTGCTTTGTAGTTTATTTACACCAGAATGTAAGAAAAAGTAAGTTATTAACAATAATAAATAACTGGGAAAAAAAAATCACACACAAAACAGCCATAAAATGACACAGAAGGATGGGATGTGTGAGGATCAACTCTTGTTTGCTTGTAGTCGGTAACACTGTGCATTCCAAAACTTGGTCCTTCTGCAGTGGCAGTGTTATTTTGACTCAATATATGTAACTAATCAAGATCCCAGCTTGAAATGTAAACCCTAAAAGTGACACTTTGAAGCTACATTTAAGCAGCATAGGCATTAACAACAACTCAAAGAACCTCTTCTTGGTGATACACAGAAACTGAAGGGAGACTTGCAATTCAACAGACATGCTTTCAACTTGAAGCAAAAACAATGAGGTTTATCCTAAAGCACTTGTTAACAACAAAAGTATAATTAGTAATGGCATCTGAAGAGTTCTTAGCCTATTCACACTCTCTTATTGCACTAACTCCTAAAAAGCTCAAACACTTCTATTTCAAATGCAAACAGATTGTTTTGAAGGTAGAACACAGAAGAACCCGGTATGTGTTGCCTCCGCATGTCAGCTCTGTGCTCTTGTTACATTTCAGTTTCAGCAAGAATGAAATGGTTTTAAACGATCTATTTATGATCAATTGCAGTCACTAAACAGACTCTTTTTTTAATTTTTTTTAAGTTTCAAGAATTATGGCTCCGATGGCAGGTTGTCCGTTCTAGTCTGCTGAGTCCGATGATCAGAAAGGGACTAAAATATTCAGACTATTTTTCTCTATCGGATTATTTGAGTACACATTGTATGTGACTAAATTATACTCTGGCCCTTGGGAAAAGTAAAATTCCTCCTGATTGAAGCCAGCCAGTGACCTTGCTGTTTCTGAGCCATGATGAGATGCTAAATAAAGCAAAATTGAAAAATCCACATACATACATTATTAGCCTTGACATTTTCACAGAAAAATGACTTCTGAGAAGTGTCAGGATCTTTTCACTTAGGTCACCGTTTATTACAGTGTCTTGAAAGAAAATCACATCTTTCTTTTGCGCGTCTCATGTTTTTAAGTGTCTGTGTTCATTATCCACCCACTACTGTACTCTTTAGAAATTTATTTTCAAGGCCCAAAACACACCTAATAAATACTCCCAAATTAAAACCATGTTCCCTACACACACGGACGCAAACCCAAAGCAGAAGGGTTTATAAATGAGTTCGCCAATGAACGCCTATTGTTTTGGTTATTACGTGGTAACTGAAAAAAGTGTCAGGCTCCTTGGTTGTCATGCTTTTCCTTTGCTTTGTTTTATTTCAGTACAATAGCAGGAAAATGAAATGGCCTCCAGAGCTCACCTCAGATAAAGTTAATGCAGTAGAAACACCAAGACCTTCTTTTCCTGGGAAAGCACACAGCCAAAGTAATGACGCTGTTATTACACTCAATGAAAAACACGGGGCCATTTCGTAATTTGAAATCCATCCAAAGTAATGACATCTACGGTCACTTTGATGGTCTCCACTAACACCAGAGATGAAGATGGGATGAATGTATGTGTTATTCTATGGATTATTTATTTTAATTTGGCTACCAGAAACTTAAAACTGGTGGCATCTGATTCACTATATTTATATATATATATACAGGTATAATACAATTTTGGTGAACAAAGTTGTAAGTTTCCACATTGCAGACAGAGGCACTGAGTTAAAGTTTCTATTTTTTTCCCCCAACATGCTTAATGAATTCAATTTTCTGCTTTTTTTTTTTCTTCTAAGTTTCCATCATGCAACCATTTAATTTCCATCCTTATGGGAATTATTAATGTTCTACATACACATTCATCGCAGGCTTCTATCCCACAATAAACAAACTCATGTATGGAGAATATGAAAAGAGACTTGAAAATCAAGACAGATAAAATATCGAAGTCATTTATGCCTTGTGATGACTGGATTAAATATTCAAAGCAGCTAAAGGAATATTTGCACCCCCCCACCCCGTTTAAATGCACACAACCACGTGTAGACAGGAAAAACTGAACATACTTTAAGAGTACACACATTTGTTGGCTAAGAATCACACTATCATTGACAGCTTTGAAATTGATGTCTGTGGTATTGAACTGGCTACAAGAGAAAGAAAACTCACAGAAGGAAATCAGAAATTAGCTTTCAAAAGCATACAGCATCATTGACCTCGATAGCAGAAGCTACTTTACAAAAAAGAAAAACGGCAATGGTGTTTAATGGGAAAACTAGGTGCCAGATGTGTTTACAACCTGCACAAAATAAATCTGTTCTATGCAAAAAATAACAATCCCACCCCATCCTGATTTCAGCGGACAAATGGTAAGCAAAGATGCATACTATGTCAGTGTCTTCTGAAAGGAGAATTTCGTCTTCTAAAGCCCAACATTCTCATTAAGTACTACTGTGTGGGGAGGGGACCATTGAGAAGTCCAAGGGGTCTGAGAAGATGAAGATTTCCCACAAGCAGAGATCATGCTACTATTCCATGCAAAGATCGCTTACTGCAGAGCCGTCGTTCTTAGAGAAGAGAGATGCACTGTTGATCTAAACTATTTGCAACTGGTTTCCTTTGAGTTCTGGATTGATTTATTTATGAAGCGACATGTCAACCTGTAGATAAAGAAATGATCTTGACAGTCTGACGTATGACTTAGAATACTCGGTGCTGGGTTCGTGGGGCCAGCGCCTGCACCTGCACCACGGGAGAGTTTATCAATTTCAAAGACACTATGTAGCATGTGCTGAGCACTGAGAGAGAGAAGCAGGCAGGGTCCACTGGCTGAGAGGCTGTGTGGGAAGGAGGACATACTCCTTGGTTTATGTTGTTTCCTTTGGAATCTGTGTTTTGGGAAGGTCCCTTTCCTGAGGTTGGAGGTTATGGTCAGGAAGGTTAGCTGGGGCCTTGGAGTTGCCCAACTACCTTGTTGTCTTCCTCTCTTAGAGGACAGAGAGTAAATGCTAGATTCTGCTTGCCCTTCCTTCTGCGTTTAAAGGCAGTGAGGCGCGACGATGGCAGTTTTCTCTTTAGATCAAAGGAGAGTTCGTTTTCTGCCACTTAGGTTGAATGATCTTACTTCCCGTCAACCTGGATTCTCACCTTGCATTACCACCACTTGCAGGAAAGAAAGCTAGACAGAGGGCGTCTCTTCTGGCTCCTCCTTCTTACTCTACAAATAGGAATCAGCAATTTTGCTCCTTCTCTCCTCCCACTCGACAGTCTTTACTCCGCTTCCGCGACATTCCCAATATTTGGGGTTCAAGTAAGGGCAAGAGAATGACAGTCTTTTTTAAGGTCCAGTGATGGGCACTCTGTTCCAGGGAAATCTGGATGTTATTAAAAGTAAAAGCAGGAGGGGGATGGGAGACAGTTCTCTTTTTCAGGGTTCCCAAACCAGAAATCTAACAGTGTTAAAAGTCCTGTGAGCTTAGTCTACCCTTGAACGTCTTTGAATGGGCAAATAGTCAACGAGTTCTACTCAATTAATTGCAAATACCGAGAATCTTAATGGATGATGTTTGTCTCACCTGGGCCTCTTGGTTCCTAAACCAAACCATCCCCAAATCAGTCAGTCATGGTCACATTCATCCGTGCAATTCTGAAAGATTTCTTAGGCCACAAGGGCACAAGGGGGAAAGTTATTAAAAGACAGAAACAAGTGGAATCTTTATTAAATTCTGTGAAAGGTATAAATCAGTTACTGTTAATTGCACTTGGAGCCACTATAGGTTGATAATTAAAATTCTCAAAAAATTTAAAGAGTTAATTAGGCCCCAAATCCTGAGTCAGACTAACCAAAATAGGAATCTCAATTAACTACTAGTATTCAAGTATTGGTGAGGAACAGTTTGAAATTTAACAATTACTTATGTTACGCCTGAGAGTATTTTTGAGAATTTCAGGTTTGATGAGAAGAGATTGACTTCGCTATTTTACCACACCTTCTAACACAGGGGCACAACATTTTCACTTATGTGCTCTTGACATCCACACCGACCTCATCAAACGCTCAACAAGGGTTCCTCCCTGGTTTCCAGCTGCGGCTACTAAGATTTCTTCTGTCCTTTGCAAGTCTTACAATTTACATCTAGCAGGATGCAGGGGCATCCTTGGGGAATCCTATATGGGAAGGTACTTAACCACATGCACACTCAGAGATCGAAGGAACATGTTTGAGGGACAAAGCAGTCTTTTTCTCTATCAGAAGATTCTTAAAAAGAAAAAAACAAACCCAAATGAAAATATAAAACCCCATGAAATATTCATAGGAAGTTACTCTAATTTGGGCCGACATGGCTTTTCTGAAGAGTATGTGCCAGGTAAATTCAGGGTGGCTCTTTTCTCAGGGTCTGGAAGTGTGAGAGTTTCTGGGGCTGACTTTTTCCGGGGTCGATCTTTGGGCACGGACAGAAAGTCTGGGGCATCGGTGGAGAGAGGTGTGGATGGGGCACTAGAAGGGGCACTGCGGACCGAGGAAGGCAGCAGGGGGATACTTGAGATAGAAATCGCAGGTGGGAAAACGCCAATTTTCCTGTTGGTGGCTTCCTGAGTGGCTCGTTCAAATTCTCGGACTTCATCCATTGTCATGTCTTCAAAGAAAAAAAAAATAGAAAGAAAAATGACCAGTTATTTAGGAGGGATGCAAATGGATATACCTCCATGCCTGATTTTAAGGGAACGATGGGAATCCTATCATAAAGAGGCCTGTCCAGACTAGAAACCCAAATTATCACTGAAATGCTAAACCCTGAATTTTTTCTTTTTAAAGGCATAAACTGCTGGGGAAAAATTTTTTTTTTTTCCTTTTATGAATATCCATCCAAGATTTTCCAAAGCACTCTTTGGGGAGTAGTGTAAGTATTCTGAATAAGGATCGGTCAGGAGAGTACAGAACCAGACCAGGGATGTGTGTGTGTGTGTGTGTGTGTGTGTGTGTGTGTGAGCTGTGGGATGGTGATATATGGAGCTATTTATTAGAACTAGTCATATTTTCCATAAAGGCAGGCTAGTTCAAGCAATCGATGGCCCAGAAATGATACATATTATTACCTACTTCAGGGTATGCAAGTACAAGTACAACTTGAGACGGGAAATAGGCAAATCATCAGAATTTCTTCTTATTCAGTAAATACGTTTTTTTTGTATTCTGGGCGGTTACTGGTTTCCTGACTGTGTACCCACCCTGAGATTGTTTAAATGTTGTATTTTAATTAATTCAGCTTAAAAAACAAAGAAGATAATGACAACAACCACAAACCCTGCAAATTACCCCAAAGCCAAGAAAAATAAAACCATCTTTTTAAAGAAACATAAAAAAAACCCTAAAAACCATTATTTGGCATCCAGGAAACAAATTCAGTGGTGCCTCATTAAGAGAAACTGTCGGGTGATGTAGATTTTCTAAATATCTAAAAATGTTTTTATTAAGTGAGAAAGCAAAAAATAGACACCTGTAAAAATGTACATCTTTCCCTAACTTCTTTATTTTTAAAAAAGATTTTATTTTAAAGTAATGTCTATACCCCATGTGGGGCTTGAACTCATGACCCCGAGATCAAGAGTCTCGCGCTCTTCCGACTGAACCAGCAAGGAGCCCCTCTAATATACTGAATGTACTATATACACTTGCTACCCTTTAGACATAATATACTGAAAATATATTAACACTGCAATGACTCCTCTACCAGGGCCTATTTTTTTTTTTTTTAATAGTTTGAGATCTCTCATTCTCAGAAACTCTATTACTGTGATTGTCCTTACTATTGTTATGGTTCTTAATCACTCTCTGGCTAACCCTGGTATCCTTTTCATTTTTATGTACTGGTAACAGAGAAAACAGGTAACTGGGCTTATTGGAAAAAGCACTGAGTGAAAGCCCAAGGGTTTGTCCTTGAGTAGAAGGGCACATCTGCTGTCCATGGATTTCCTACATGAATTTTAGCTTCCCACAGACCCATTTTTCATTCTTGTCCTCTCCCATGAACCTAGTGGTGGAACCTTCATGAGATGATATTGCAGAAGCTAACATGAAACAATATGTCCACTTTGGAAATATTAACTATGGAATGAATATTCATAACATGATTTTAGTCATTAGGATATATATAATACCTATAAGGTCATATTATAAGCAAGCCAGATAAATTTTTCTTTTTTTAAATTTTCAATTTAAATTCAATTTAGTTAACATATAATGTTTCATTAGTTTCAGGGGTAGAATTTAGTGGTTCATCAGTTACATATAAAACTCTGTGTTCATTACATCAAGTACCTTCCTTAATGCCCAACACCCAGTTACACCATCCCCTCCCACTGCCCCCCCCCCATCTTCCCTCTAGCGACCCTTGGTTTGTTCCCTGTAGTTAAGAGTCTCTTACGCTTTGCCTCCCTTCTCTGTTTTCACCTTAATTTATTTTTCCTTCCCTTCCCTGATGTTCATCTGTCAGAAATATTTTTAAAAACCAAAATCCATAAGAGGATTTCTTGGAGCAATTGTTAAAATTTTATGAGAGGAAAAATTTTTCTTACGAAGGAAATAAAATATGATTGTACTGATATCATATACAATTTAGAATGTAACAAGAAAAATTGCACCTATAAATTTGTCACTTTAAAAATACTAAGACTCTGGCATTCTCTTAAAAAAAAATACTAAGACTCTTAACAAGCTAAGAAATGAAATTAGGTTTTTAAAAAAGAAGTGTGCACTTTAAAGTAAAATTGAGACTCTCAGAAAAATTTCAGTGAATGGGGTATGTTTCTGCTATAATAAATAAACATCTTTGAAAAATTAGACTTTCTACCCAAGTGGCAGAGTATAATGCTCTACTCCACATATCCAGCAGGGGGCAGAAATCATCCAAAATACAGAATTTCGATTTTACATTCCCAGAGTCTCTTAGAAGTTCCCTTCCTTGAAGGCACGGAAACTGCTCAATGGAAAAGGAGACTTACTTTCTTACTGCTATGTTCATGGGTGTTAATTTTGCATAATTTCAATCTAGTGTGTCCCTACTCAGGTTGAGGATTTAAATTTTATTGAACACCCACACAGTTTGCATTTGTGATGGACAGCAGCCTCCTGATTCCAACTGTTTTTCATTACGATAGCGAAGAAAGACAATGGAAAAATAAATGATCTCCAATTTGATGGAATTCCAAAGAATAAGGGAAATGTCGTAAGCACTCAAAATAACCACTTTGTGTAACTTCTAAGGAGATAGGCATCTCTTACACTGAAGTCATGGGAACGACAGTGAATTACAGCCAGAGAATGCATGGGGCTTTCCCATGGGAGAACCACTCTAGGTACCACTGTCTACATAGTAAATTGACTTTCTAATGGTAATAATGGCAGGAGAAAAACCAAACAAAGAGCCCGAAGCTAAAAACCGTAAGAGCTTAGAATGAGAAAAGCTGGGCGCTTAGAATCTTTTGCAATGTGGCATCTCCCCCTTTCCTCTGGCTTCTTTTGTCTGATCACATTTCTAAGCAAGCAGCTTTCGGAGGGCTGCTGACGGAGAACTAGAGTCTAATATTCCAAAAAGAAAGGGAATTGGAAATGATGGACTTCCAAGGACAGTTTCCTTAGGGAGCATTTCTAACATTAGAACACGGAGAGAGGGAGAAGGGAAGTCCTTTTGGCACGGGCCTGTGTACAGAGAGAAACAACACCCCAGGTAAGTTGACTCTGTAGCTTTCCGCAAATCCAATCACTACATGCACAGGAGGAGGAAACGTCAAGGCCATGTGAGCCTCAAGGGTCAGTAAGCCACATGCACTTGAGCCTTGCAGGGCACACTCCAAATACATGCTCTAAAAACCGAACCGAAAACTTCCGAAGTGCAACCAAAAAGATGGTCACAATTCCAAAGCCCCCATTTACAACCATAGCCCTTGCTCAATCGTCTTTACCTACATTATCAACTTCTTAAAAGTCTAATAGGTTCTGTTCTGGGACGTGGGCTAGCAGGACATGCGGGCTCAAGCCGATACCCAAAGAGGCCAGAGCACCGGCCAAAGACACATACAAATGACTTGATGCCCCATTTTCTCTGCTATCTTAGTTCCTCTTCATTGGCATGAATGATTGAGAGGTAACTATATTTCAAATGCTGGCACGCACCATACAGTCAGCTCTCAATTTCCAACGTGCCACTACCTAACCCGTGGCTCTCTCAGTCTCCTGCTGAGTCTCAGGCTGGAGAGGCTACGCGGCCCAGCACAATTGCAGTTCACGGCCCCTCACTGCTGAGCCACTCAGTGCACCCATGGGCTGCAGCCCCGTCTTGAGATGAACCAAAGCAAAAAGGATCAGATTGGCTAGAACAGCTACAAAGAGGCATAGAAAGCATTTCAAAGCAAATGTAAAGAAATCTAAAACACCAGATGAGCCACAAGCTGTCCCTTGAATGAATAACTCAAGCCTTAACTGTATTTTTAAAAAGTTATGGTCACGATAACTAGTTTTCAGATGACACCTGTTTTGTCTCCTCCTCTCTTCTTTCCCGGTGCAGGCCACTCACCAGCCACAAATGTTTCCACTCTCCACGTTCTTGGGTTTTAGGAGAGGAAACACCAGCCCCGAAATCAAGCGGCTCCTTTAAGAACTGAAAAATCTAGAAGCAAGAGGTGGCACTGTCCCGTTTAGACCTAGCTCAGGCTCTCCACCAACAGCCCCTGGGTGACGACATGATTTTGTGTGGCATGTGGAGAAATGAACGTCTGCAGTATTTCAAAGATCAGTTTTAAGTGTACGTTTGGTAAAGGGTGGGCAACATGTTTTAAAAATTCTACATACACTTGTTTGGGCATGGCTCTCTATGTCATCCACAGTGGAGGAATGCTGATTGCAAACTTTTATGTTGGTTTGTTCATGCATGTTTTTCTCGTATTCCCGAACATCATCCATTGTCATATCTGCAAAAAGGTCAAGACGTTGGTAACTACTGTTATTAAACGCAAAATTTCAACAGGGAGACTTTAGGGAAAGACGGTAGCAGAAGCCAAAGAGAGGTTTCAAAAAGCAGGGAATTACACTAACTTTATGAAGAGGACGTCATAAAGTTAGCTAAACCAGCCAAAGGGGGACGTGAGTGCAAGGAAGTTAAGTCGAAACAGTCTCAGAACAGCGAAGAGTGGAAATTATTTAGGCGTGGGGCTTGTAAAGTGAGCTACATGGATGGAGAGTATTAGCACGTGGGCAGTGCCATAGCCCGAGATCTCCTAAAACATTCTTAGAAGATCCCGACGGGGACAGGGTCAGGTTTGTTTGCTTTGATACTTACCTTCCAGATACCCTTCAAAATAGATTTGGAGATTGTTTAAACCAATGCACTCGACAAGAGAAAGGACACTTTCATTGCTAGTACTCGAGACATGACAGAAGGTAGACCCGTGATGTTTACCGGTACAAGGGATATTTGGTTGCAAAGCTCACACGGAGATGGATTTCTGCACAGGATTCTAGTGTCAGAGAGTGCGGGTCTATATCGAACTTCAAGTCTAGTCTAACAGCTTGGAGATGGCTGGCACTACTTCCACCCACACTGATCTATAAATAAAATGGCACATGACATTACGATTTTGG